GAAGAGCNACCTATGTGAGTTTTTTGAGCCTATTGAAAGTGTGCATTTTTCATATACTCATATTCTTTCATGTGTGATGAACTTATGTGACTTACATCTCTAGAACTTGCATAACGATCTTTCGAAATGTTTTGTTATTTGATTGCATGAACTTGAAAAGGATAGAGGCATTATGACTTCAATTACTTTAACTTTGAGAAACTCCCTTTCGCAAATGTAACATTAACATAATTGTCAACAAAATTATGTTTGCAATGCTTGCAGTAAAGAAAATAACTCATCCTCTTCAAGCAGCTCAATACATCAATGGATGTCTTCATTTCTTTTGACAAACGCTCTCGTATCTTCATTTCTTTTGACAAACGCTCTCGTAAAAGCTTCAACTCTACAAATAATGCATCGCCATCAACATAAAAAAGAACTCACGTTTCTTGATAAAGATAAATTTTTGAAGACGATCACAACAATCTTTTAATTTATTATTGTCAATCGAATTCAACCTTTCCAAAGTGAACAATAACTCAAATATATAATCGTATGCTTTATATTCATCAAAACTTCTGTGAATCAATAGCTTGATATTATATAGTGTAATGAACTCTAAGAGATTCGTTCGCTAATTGGGATGATTCATCATCATTCTCATCAAAGTGGCTTTTTCTACGAACTTTACACTTTTCTGGAGACACGAGATCAATTTCCATCAGTTTTGATATATAATAATATTATATTTTAGATAGCAAAAATTGTTTGGGGGCCCTTAAATTTTAGTACATTGTGCGATTATACACTTCACTCTTCCAAAGCTGCCTTTGATATGTGGTGCCACCACGATGTCCCTGTTGTAGTGAAAAAGCTAAGCCAATACCAAGAACCTTGATTCATGAAACTTCAGCGATACAAAGGAGAGGCACTGGAATATGAACGACAAGAGCTCTGGCCACCTGTCAACAAGTAAAATCATGAAGGCGAGCTTGGAAATTGTATAGCAAAGCTTCTTGGAGACAAAGTGTAGGGACTTTTGTTAGGGAAGGGATAAAAACTAAAACATGTTGCTTGGGATAAAGTGTGCTAGTTGAAAGAGGACGGAGGCTTGGGTGTCAAACGAATTGATCATTTTTAATAATGCTTGTTTCGCTAAGTTAGGTTGGAAAGTTCTTACTAATGAGAATAATTGTTGGGTTCAAATTATCAAAAGAAAATACCTCAAAAAGGAGAATTTTATGGAGTGTAAGATGAAGCAGAATCACTCTTTAGCTTGGAAAGACATTCTCCATAATAGACATATATTACCCATAAGGGGATGAGGTGGATTGTGGGTAATGGTATGATATCTTGTTTTGGACCCATCATTGGGTTCTTCCTTATCCTCTAATCCATTGAATCCCAGAAAACCAGAGGACGGGGATCAACAGGGATCTCAAGGTGAGTGAATTTATTAATAATAATTGTTGGGATATGGATAAACTCAATAGATTGGTTGATCGTGATGTTGCAAGGAAAATTGCATTATCTCTATTCCCTTGAGAGATACTGATGGTATGTTTTCTGTGTGGGGTGCTTCAAATAATGATATGTTTTCTGTTATGGGTGCAACCTAGATCCAAAATCAAAACCCGCGGAATGGTAACAAACTAAGTTGCTTAAGAAAATATGGAAACTACTTATCCCTCCAAAGGTGAAGATGTTTTCTTGGCTCCTCATGCAGGAAAGTCTTCAACCTAGGAAATGTCTAAGTAAATTCATTATAAATGCTGACAAAGTTTGCCCTTTATGTGGCAAAGATGAAGAGGATCAAAATTACCTTTTTCTTAAGTGCCACTTTGCAAAACTAGTTTGGAATCTATCTCCTATTAATCCGTCGAGAAATAACACATATTAGTTTGATAATATGGCGGATTGGATGGAAAGTTTGAGTTATTCAGAAAAAGAGGATCTTAGAGTTGAGCAAAGCAATTCTCAATTGTTGACAAATATAGAATGAAAGAAATAATAAGGTGTTTAGGGGCATCATTCTATCCCAACTCGCCGCCTTGTCATTGCAGCTAGTATGGGTTCTTTGTTCTTCAGGTGTAATGGAAACCAAAATGCAAGGTTGTCACTTCTTCTGAGCAGGTCATTCAATGACACCCCCTGATCAGGATGTTACAAAGTTAAACTTTGATGGTTCTGTTACTTCGGAGAAAGCTGTTGCTGCCCTTGTGTGTTAAGGAATTAAGAGGGTCGGGTTATTGGTCCTGATGCTTTTAATCTTGACATAGTAACTATTTCTGGTGGAGGGGGATTCAAAGTTAATCATCAGTGAGGTTCAAGGAAGATGGGATGTCCCTTTGAAACCTAATATCTATTTTTGAGGATATTCGTTGGATGGCCTCAAAGTTCAATTGCATAGAATGGAACCATGTTTTAAGAGAAGAAAATTTTGTGGTGGCTGCAATAGCTCATTTAGGTTTAACTCTTGATATTCCACATTTCTGGGATCATTGGCTCCCTTATGTTGTATTTAATGTCCTCAATTTTGATTGCTTGGGCTTTGGTTGTAGTAGAGGTTTTTCCCTTTAATGAATTTCTTTTTCTTGATAAAAAATATATATATGATTGAGGTTAAGGGAAAGAATCTCAATTATTTAAGATTACCATCCCATAATTAATTATTAATTAAATTACAAAACCTTCAGCTAATTAGTGCAACACAAGCTAAGTGATATATTAACCTAGAGGTATTTGTTGGTTTGCTCCCCAAACTTGTATAGAGCTGCCAATTTTCTCCCTGTACTTTTATAATTAGTCAATTCCTCCCATAAACTTTAAATTTAGCCGATTACCTTCTTGAAATTTTATAATTAGCCAATTTCCCCCTAGCGTTATACTTTTTTAAAAAATTTCATCCAACTTATATCCAACAAATTTTCCATTATTTTTGCCCCCATACATTTGTCTTGTGTTGTCCACATGATCAAAATAAATGGAAATTGGATGAAAAAAAAATGTAAAATCTAGCATTAGGGGGGAAATTGACCATTTATAAATGTTCGAGGGGTAATTGGATAAAATTAAAGTTCAAGTGGGAAATTGCTAATTATAAAAGTTCATGAGAGTAATCAGCTAAAATTAAAATTCATAGGAAAAATTGATAGCTCTATACAAGTTTAGGGGGTAAATTGACAAATATGCCTTAATCCTAATGAACTTGACCAATGAACAAAAAGGGAGTAAAAAAATGGTACTATTATAATATTTTTCGAAGGTAAAAATTATTAGATTTTTTAGTTAATATGATCTATGAGATTAGCATAACTTCTCACTTTGGTATTTGATAACGAAAATTGATAAAGGTGATCCCAATTTTTGTCAATGGTAAATCATTTGGTCATTCCGTGAAAAATATATCAATATCCTCATTTAATTAAAAAGGTTGATTTGACAAAATATTCTTAAAAAGATGATCACGTAGTCATTCACGCAACAATATAACAAGTATATTTACAAAATGTCAACTGAGAAACCAACTCACAAACGTAACTGAATATGCTGTAACAAAGATACCATATCAAATATATATGCAAATCAAGACCCAAAAAGAAAAAGGAATATATGTGATCATCCAATAGGTTTTGAGGTTGACAACCATGAGTGAGGCCAACCAATGGCCAACACTTAACTAGCTAGATTCTTAAATATATTATTATTAGTAAGGGGAGACGAAGGTTCAAAATTATTACAATAATTTAGGAGATCGTTTAGTCATGTGTGTGCCTCATGGGTTCCTCTTCAATTATTATGTGGCCAATTCGCGGAATTTCATATTTATGATCGAAACAGTTCATATTATAAAATCCCTCTATAAAAATTATCTGTACAAAAAACCAATTAAAGATGAGATCGCTTAGTCATCAAACTGTATAAAAATAGACGGATTTATAGAAGAATTACAAACTTATCTATTTGCTACAATTAATTGACCAAACAATCTTAGTTTTAATTGATTTTTTGTACATATAATCTTTACATAATGATTTATTATATGAACGGTTCCCATTACAAACACGAAATTATGTGAATCGGGAAGTAAGTGAATTTAGGAGGATCTCCTCAATCTTGAGAAGCCAAGTCATTTGCACTTTTTATGGCATAATTACACTGTTACCACAATATCCTATGTCAATCATAAATATTTCTCTTTACGACGTATCATTAATAACAATAAAATGTTATGATAACAATGTATTATTGTAATGGGGTACTCTCCGTAAATAGATGTCCATATCGAACCATCTTTTCGGCCATTCTTAAATATAGAACTCTAGAAAAGGAGTGGCAATCAAGGAAAAGTAGCCATTAGCCTTCAACCAAATACTATGTGGCTGACAATCCAAATATTCTTAACATAAATCAAAACTTGAGACAGCGGTCACAGCATGGTACCCTAAATTTTGTTTCGAATGCTTGGTGTCATGGCAAGTTGGCTCAGCATAATTTTGAAACCGGTTCACCATTTCTTCGTTTTTGAATCTCACGTCAAACTTTTGCTTCTCTTTTCTGTGTTTCTGACATTTTTTTGCTTCGAATATTAAGGCCGGAGCATCCAACCCGACGGACCCGAATTGCAAAGGATGGGTTAGGGGTGGGTTTGACCTTCCAACCCACCCAAGTTGCAACCCTAATACACAGAGAAGTCAAAAGAGTTCCTTCTCTCAAATCACAAAGTACATTAAAAGAGTTTGCAAACTGTAACTGGAGAGTAAAATCCCATTAACACCCGACTAGAAATGAATAAAATTTGAGTAGCCAGCCCCAACATTTTATGGAAAAAATGAACTTTTTTATTTACATATACAACACAGGCTGTCGTCTCGGCGGTACTTAAGAAAACATGGTGAAAGGTAATTAATATGTGGCAACATGTACAAAAAAAACAAACTTCATCCAAGTACATATACTACGATACAAACAAAACAATATTCATCAAGCTGTTTGCAGTAACAATGTCGAACTTCAATATATTACGGATCACTTCACACAGCATAAAGCCTTATAACTTGGTCTATCTTGGCTCGACAGACGGGGCAACCCCATTTCTTACCTGTAATCTCCTTCAAACAGGACATGCATCCAGCCATATGTCCACATGGGATGCAAGCTCCTTCAGCTGGAGCATCCAAACAAATCACGCATGAACCGCTTTCACCTTTCTTCTCATCAATTTTAGCAGGTGTGCTTTCAAGGCTTGGGGATGGGATATCAATAGGACTGAAATCAATTGATGGATAGTGAACAGGAGCTGCATCTAGACTATCATCTGCAACCGGTGGGGCTGATGGGATTATATCTGAAGTAGGAGCTGTTTGGACGGAAGAGGTATCCTGGATTTCCACCTGCTGAGATGACTCTCCAACTTCATTACTCTGAGTCCCTGACCACTCGCCGCTACTTACTTTTGAAGCAGCAGCTGCAGTTGGTGCACCACCACCATTGTAACTGTCAGTTCTTGTGGAGGCTCCGGCCCAACCATTATCACTACTGGATGAACTTGCTTCATAGGTAGGGTGCGGATTAGGAAAGGATGGTCTCTCCTGCAAAGCAGACTGCATGGAGGCACTAATAGCCATGGCCAACTCTAAATCTTCTGCAGCTGGTGGTGCACTTGCTGGAGCAACCGGGGGTTGGTTGTTACCCAAAAACGCAGGACAAGCCTGAAAAAATTCCACAAATATAATATATGATAGCCTCCCAATCATCACACAAAAGATAATTGCTTGCTTACTATAAAAGGCGCATATTGTCCATTCCCTTTTTTTCACTTTTTCATTTCTAGGGGTGGATTTCACATGGAAAAGAAAACGGTCCATATAAATGGATTCAAGTATGGCATTTCAAGAAATAATGAGACAAGAAATTGCAAAACACTTTCACTTTACACAATACAACAAGAAAAAGGATGGGAGTTAAAAACGTCATGTATATGGCAGAGAAGGATAAGATGAAATGTACCTGTGGTATTCCTTTGCATGCATTGCAAAACAACTGAAGTTGTTGCTTGTCATTCTCAACTGCAGCTGCAAGTTTGATGCGTGTTTCTGCAAAAGATGGAATACAAAGTTAGGATGGGATTCTTTGCTGAGCTTGAATGGGATCCCTAACAAGAGAAACCTCACTCATGGACACGCACAACAATTAAACATCATTTTCTTCCTAGCTAGACGGTAAGCCTAATATAGGTCGGAGGGTGGAGGATGGCATCAGTATATTACTGCAGCACTTGATGTGGAAGATATCCAAAATCTTCTGCTAAAGTGCTTCTCAATCACTTCTATGATTTATATTGATTGGAAGTAATTAACGACAACGTACTTACACCTAAGTTTTTTAGGCCTACAACTGGCCTCTTGGGTGATGTACATGCTTCTTCTCCGTATCTTGCCTCTTGGGACTATGCATGGACATAGAATTCAATTAAAAAGGGGCTAGGAAGTTAATGTGACATCAACCCCAGATTTATAGCCTAAAGAAAATAAGGGTTAAAATTACTCAAACTGAATTATTTTGGAATCAAGGAATTACTTGTGGAGTTATCATGAATCACAACTGATGGATCAGACTGGTGTAACTTTGGTTCTTCCAGATTGACTTTCCACAATGCAATAACTGTTCGCGGTTTGGCATCCTGCTTATTAAAAAGTTCAATATAAGCACACTAGAAAAATGATAGAACCATCAGTCAACTTACAGCCAAAATTATGCAAACACAAGTGTGGCCTAGATATATCAATCCGGAGTAGATAAAGATATAAACATACATGATGCCGGACGGCTAATTCTATCAAAGGTTTGACAATAGGAAGTGAGCCGACAGCGTCAATCAAGATAGCATGTACTTAGGTAAGAAACACTAACAATAATGCAGAAGGCCTGAAAATTAAGCTACAAATCACCACATAGCATGAGTCAACTCTGCCTTCTGCACAGTACAAATCAAATATAAAGGAACTACAGTACGATTACTATGTTTTATCATTTTATTCATTTGTTTTCTATGCATCATGGACTAACTAATTGCTATGTCCAGTCAAGGCTTGCAAGATCTTGACCTCCCTTCTCACATCCTCGATTGCAATAGCAGTTGTCATCTAACAACAAACAATACATTGCTGTTAGAAGAAATCATAACAAAAAAAAAAAAAAAAAAAAAAAAAAAAAAATGCATTAGAAGTCAAATCAACTACCAAAGCCACCACATGTAACACAACATCTCACAGCAATAATTATTGTGACCCTCTATACATTTCTTTAAGTGCTTCATATCTTATTTTCCCCTCCAAAATTTACTCAGGGAACAAGAAAGTCAATTGTATACCGGTATAACATCACTACTTGTGATCTTGTACTTATTTTAAAGGCAACTCGAGTATTTACCTCATCCAATTTACATTGTTCAACATTTATAATACTCAATTTACTTTTGTTGATACACAAAATCATTGAGACTTTGGAACAACATAAAGTGTCAAGTTTGTGACCTTCGCTCGGTTGCTTCAGTCACTTAGTGATGATAATGTGTAAAGAGAGATAGGGAAGCAAACACAAGATGTACGTAGTTCACCCTAAGTCTAGCTATATCCACGGAGTAGAGGAGTTCTCATTAATAGTGAAGGGTTTACACAAACACATAAGTTTAAGCATAAACATCATTGGTGGGTTCTAATGACCAGTTTAAGAACAATAATGACATTAGGGATTCATTGTAGGAGAATGGTCTTCTTTTATAGTTGAGGAGTCTCCAGCTTTTGTTCGCGGTCAATGTGGGACTCTATGAGCTTTATTCTGACGTTGACATGTGTCGTGTTGTGATTAGCCTCTTGGTTGGGGGAAACTCTTGTGCTTCGGCAGGGGTGCCTCAGCAGAACCCCTCAATGGATCCCTGAAGGTATGAAGTTGACCGGTGCTTGGTAGTTTCGGGATTGGTCAAGTATGGTACAAACAACTTTACATGAATAAATCCACACACTATTGTTTACAAAGAAAATTCCCAGCATATGAGGCATGCTTGATGTTTAATAAAACTACAAAGTTGTCACCTTGTGTCCCTAAAAATTTACTTATTCCCCCTCTTTCTTTTACAGGGGACTTTAGGGAAGAAAGCGTAGTCCAGAACTAGAAGTCGTCATCTTTTATTCTTTGATGAGAGAGTGGGTAGATTGAGTCAACCTCCCTGGATTAGTGTTGAGACCCTTAAACCCTTACCACTGGTTGGACATAGATATTTATAACTTTGTTCAAAAGAATATACTGCCAATCATATAGCTTCAATTATTGGTGAACCACCTCATGCTACATGATCATCAGACACAAAACAATACAAGATTAAGTTCAATGTTTCTTGCCTCTTGCAATAAGCGTCTTACAATCTGCTGAGGCTTCTGATGGTAAACCATCTAGAGGGTCAAGATTGTGAAATGTGACCCACCAAAAGCTTTCGGTAGTTTGGATGACTATAAGCATGGTTACTACTGGCCATTATCGACCGGCTGCTGTATGATCTAGTTCAATTATATACCCGTGGGAAGGCCAAGACCACAATTTGGACCATGACTTTTGTCAAAGATTAGGTCCACTCTCAACCATTGGACTGTATGCTTTGTTTATCATTCAGAACGAACTGTCACATCTTAGGTATCGACTAAGTATTATATGGCTGAGAAGCCATCACACAAAACAAAACAAACAAAAAAGTCTATTATTCCTATTCCCACTACATGGAATTCAATCGGTCACCAAAGATCTGCATTTTTGAAAGGAAAAACGTACTTCCATTCCAAAATGTGATTTGAACATAAAATATCCCAACTTGAGTGGGCAAAACCTGGTGTAAACTATTCAGGTGGATCAAGTAGGCCAAGAGATCAATACCTGTTATTGACCAAAGTAAAGCAATAAACAAACAACTTGGTCACTTTACAACCCTTTCACACAAACAACTTGTCTTAGTATATATTTCTTTCATTTAAATAATGAATAATATTTCCTATCTAGAACAACTCCACCACAGTCAATTGATATGAATACCTGACGAGATCTTGCAAAGATCTTCCTTGTGCCGCATTCAACCTCAAAGGACGTCTTCGACCTTAATCAGCCAAGAATTAAGTTTAACACAGTCACACTGTAAAACCACCACTCCCTGGCTCCCACCCACAACACAAAAAACAACAACAATAACAAAGATTCAACATTGGCCTAAGGTCTCAGGTTTTACTTTTACCTTGAAGAATGACTAAAATACAATAAATAAAAAAACCCAAATTTTATCAACCAAGATTAAGCAAATGAGAGCAACAAAAACCAATCTTTACAAACAAAATATAGATTAACCAAAAATCATACATGCAAATAAGAGCATTAGGCCAAACCTTTGTTTTAGGGATGACTTTCACAGCGACCTGTTGACCCTTAAACTCCCCCTTTTTGTACCTAGCAGAGCAAGTATACCCAAAATGCCCTCGACCCAATTCGTCCCCAACCTCCAATCGACTCGTAACCTCCTTGGAGAACCCAAACCTCTTGTCCAGCTCAACCCCATCTTCCTCCTCTCCGTCCTCCGGTATCGCCACCGAAGCCGATGCCTTTTTGCCCAGACGCCGTGCCAGCACGGCCTTGATGTGCTTCGCCGGCGACGGAGGCGGAAAGGGTCGCCGGAAAAACCGGCTGGGAGTGGAAGTTGCGCTCTTGCTCCGCGCCGGTGACGACTTCTTGAGGTAATGGGCGGGGCTGGGACTGTAGAAGGGGTAGAAGGGGGACTGGGAGTGGGACTGCCGTGAAGCGACGTCGTCTTTTTGGTGAGGGGTGTGGGATGGGAGTGATTTGGGGGTTTGGGAAGGATTGTTTGGGTCAATTGGGTCTCTGGGGGAATATGGGTTCTGCTTTGGAGGTTTCGAAGTGCAGGTTCCCATGGCGGATTTGAGAAGGAGTGAGAGAAAATGGGTGAAAGATTGAAGCTTTAAGGTTGAAAAGCTGCTTAATTCAATGGTTATGGTTGTGGCATTGTGAAATGTGTGAGAGTGTAGCTCTAGCTCTAGATCAAGCTCTAGGTTTTTTTGTTTGTTAATGCTTGTAGTTGTTGTTGTTGCTCCACTTTTCTTGTGGTGTCTAGAGAGAGAAAGAGGAGAGAGAGAGCAGGGGATGGTGGAGCTGTTGGAGTTAATAATAAAAGGCAGGAAAAGGTGTAAATGTGCACAGAGAGAGAGAGAGAGAGAGAGAGAGAGAGAGTGGGAATTTGTTGGGGACGAGGACGATGGGGGTGACTGAGGGAGATTGCAGTGTGGGAGTGAGCTGTAGATTGTAGTCTTCTGTGATCTCAGTAGCCACATGGCAAGCACATGACTCTTTGGATTGTTTTATTGTTTTTTGGTAATTTTGTTTGTGAATGAATTCACAGTAAAAACGTGATTTTCACACAATTTTTAAATTTTTCGCTTGATTTTTTTTGCGACTATCTTAATCTGCAACCAACTCTTTCCTGCACATAAAAATAGACTTAATGATACAGTAAGGTTATCTCAAGAATGTTATATAGGGAAATTGAATCCCAAACGTTGAAGATTTGAGAAAGTATTTCTACATATGATAGAAAAATTACTTTCGTGACCCTTATAAAGAATATGTCACAAAATCACAAAAAGGACACATGTATGGACTTGTGACATGATATCGAAAGGTGAAAAACCATCGGGTTGTCACTTCAAGATATTTTTTGCGACTTAGTTGGAAGGTGTGTAGAGCTTTAGCTTGGGTGTCCACACCACCACCTTCCTTGTGTTTGCCAATCTCAGCATTGTTGCTTGTGGGATGTATTTTCTTGCTGTCTTCCTTTGCTTTGTGGTTTAGATCTTTGTGGTGGTTGTTGGAGGATGATGAAGCTTTCTTTTTTTATTTTGGGGGCTCGTGCTGGGTTGGAGGTGCTACAGTGGCGGCTAGGGCAGTAGTAGGTTGCTAGGTTTTTGCTATTTTGGTCTCCAATTCTTGTGTTGGGTTGAGCTCTTTTTTGTGCTTCTTGAATGGTTCATTATTATGCTTTGTACTTCACTTGTATTCGGACCTCTATTTATGGAGATTATTTGTGTTGGTATTGAAATTTACCATTGTTAAAAAAAATCCATTGCCATTGATAAAGCATCAAAAAGAAAAGTGACAAGAGTACTTCCATTGTACTTTGCTTAGATATTGAAATGGTGTGAATAGTGTTGTCAACATTGCACTTAAAAACTTTTCATGTTTGGATTTTAATTTATAGGTTTTGCTCAAATTCGTAGCTAAACGTCCGACTCTGTATGTTGATTGACTAACTAATGACTCGTTTACTAATTCATAATCAAATAAGAGGAATTGAATTGATGAGGTGTTGGAATGAGAGGAGTCAGAATTAGATTCATGTTGAAGTTGTTTGTTAAAACCTTATGGAATCGTCGAATTGAGATAGATTCCATATAAACTGTTTACTGAACCAAAATGAAAATCAATATAATTACTAAAATGCCTTGAGTTGAAATAAATTATTTTATTTACTAATTTTTTGGTTAAAATGGACAAATGTTGGTGGTGTTGGGTTAATGCAAAGGTCAATCTTGAAATTTAGAAATAAGTGAGGGTATAATGGGGAGGAAAAATCCATCTGAGTCCCCTCAACAAAGCGGAATTCAACTACCACCTAAATGTACAGAATCTAATTCTTCCACATTTTGGGTTGAATTCCAAAATTTGTGTGGGTCCCATAACCTTTTTGGCTCTCCAATATTCAGTAAACATTGGAATATTCTGTAATTGGAATTCAATTATGCGTTTTAATTCCGATTGCCTTTATGTAAATGTGCCCTAATTATATTTGAGAGTGTCAATCGCAACTTTAACCATCATCCATTATATCATTTTCATTTATATGTTGATTCCGTTTTTGACATCTTATCTTTTTAAGGTCTATAATGGCACGACCAGATGTTTTGTTTTAACTCTTGAGATTAGATTTTGGGTTTAACATTTTGGTTTAAAACTCAAAATTCGAGAGGTCAAAATTTAGAATCAAAGTGAGAATGATTGAGGTTTTGATTATCATGCTTATTTTTTTATTGATGACACATCATATAGTTTACGTATTCGGTCTGAAAAAATAGTCTAGTTAGCAATTGTAGGGAGACCAAATTTGGAGACTAAATTTGCAAACTAAATGATGTGTCACCATTAAAAATAAACATATTTATCAACGTGTAAGTAATAAATCAATCATCAACTTCCATGTCTTTTAATTTTCAAAACTTTGTCTACAAATTTAGTCTCTCTAGCATTACTTTATCCAAAATCTTATCAAATAAAAAAACTTAAGCTGAGCTCATTGGAGATTCTCTAATGTATATGTGTGTGATACTCTTTTTCTTTCAACGAGGTTAAAGGTTTCAACAATATTTTCATGTTGCAGCATTTCTGCACCATATCCCCGTTTTCTATGTATGTTTTCTTCTTGAATAACAAATATAATATTTTCTTTAATGAAAGAAATCTTCAAAGGTATATGTTTAATTAGAAACCAGCCCTCGCTCACTCTCACAAAATCAATCCTTCCAATCTGCAATTACCATGCACGTTCTCTAATGTATTTGTGTGTAATACTCTTTTCCTTCGACAAGGTTAAAAGTTCCAACAAAATTTTCATGTTGCTCATGTATGCACCATATCCTCTTTTCTATGTATGTTTTCTTCTTGTATAACAAATATAATATTTCTTTAATAAAAGAAATCTTCAAAGGTAAATGTTTAATTAGAAACCAACCCTCACTCTCCTCTCACAAAATCAGCCCTTCCAATCTGCAATTACCATGCAATTTAAAGAATGAATAATGTCTGGAGATTTTCATTTTTGAAGAAAGTTCAAACAGACTGTCATTTTCCAGGAAAGTTCGAAGAGAGCAACCCGATTCAATATTTGGTATAATGTCAGGGAAAGCAGTTGTAAAACATGATCCCACTGCCACTTTATGATATCTAAATGCTGACATTATTTGCTAATTAGAGCATGCCTTTTTCAACCAAAAAACTTTATGATGATATATTAGCAGAATTATTTAATCTATTAAATTGGCAGTTAAATAACGCACATCTTAATTAATGCAAATCAATGATTTTATTTTAAAATGATAGCACAATTATTGAGAAGAGAAATACAGGAAACAGGGAACCACAGATTAAGATTTAGAGGACAATGAAAAATTGATCCGTATCTCAATTTTTTATGTGGCCATGATCTCGTTTAGTCCTAATTCCTAAAGCAGTGAACATTTGTTTATTTAATTTTGTCCGGAGAGAACAAGTGAGATTTGAGAAGAAACAAAGGAAGTTTGCAAAACTTACACGACCTAAGTAAACAAAACCAGGCTATATACTACTGGATAAACAATATTTGAAAGTGCTTTACCAAAAAAAAAAAACAAAAGGGTAGAAATTAATTAAAGGAGTACAGACTGTAAAGTGTAACTTGCCTGATTAATTTATCAAATTTTCTTTTATTGTATTTGTCTTCTTCCATGTTTAGGTAATGACCTCAATGATGAAATCTACTTTCATTTGAGAAGTTTCTTATTTGTTTAACCTATGAATATGAAGGAACTTTATGTACATCTAAAGTCAACTACTTAGCAAGATCGAACCATCTAATGCCCACCTATGTAGTAATATAGATTGTAATTTTTTTAAAAAGGCATCAACGTATGAATGAGCTATGTAGTAGACAAATGCTAGGGATGGTGGTGGCGACAGTGTGATAGTAGGTAGTGACGATGATGGTGATCGGGTGGTGGTTGTAGAGATGGTAATGGGGCGGGGTGGCGGCGGTGATGGTGAGAGAGAGATAGCCATAGAAGTGTTTATTTCCTATTTATTAAAAACCCTTGCCGCTACAGAGAAAAATGAAGAAAAAACCTACCATCGTCGACCCTTGTCTTTGGCCTTGGAGTTCAATCCTTCTTAATATCTTCCCTTCTTGTTTCTATGGCCACTATCTCACTTTGTTGATGAGAGTCTTCGTGGTTGTAGTTGCTCTCTTTTTCTATGTTGAGGAGAGCCTTTTGTCCATGGCGTTTGTGTGTGCGCTTGGTAAAGGACTATGAGGAAAAAGCTTTATTTTTGTTGGAGGTGACTCAGAGCACGGCTTCTTAGCCAATGATTGCAAAATTATTAGAGAGTGGTGTGGTTCTTTCCTCGTGGTACTCTGCAAGATTTGGTACTCTTTAGTATGGTTTTTCATGTTGGATAGTTGTCTAATTAGTCAAGTTTTATCTCAACCACACTCTTTTCATGGTGAAGAAAGTTGAGGTTCTATCATAAACTTAATTGGCAATATAAGTAGTAGCACAATTACTTATAAGTACATACAACATCCATTTTTTCTCTGATGTGGGATTCATACTCTCAGCACGCCCCTTCAAGTGAGACAAATTTTTAAGCCTAGCACGTGGACAACACAAATTGAGTGATGTGGAGCATGTGAAGAAAGTTGAGGTTATACCAAAAAACCAATTGGAAATATGAAGAGTAGCCTAGTTACTTATAAGCACATTCAAGGTCATTTCTTTCCCCTATACAGGATTCGTACTCACAATAAGTGGCCTTATTTGTCATGCGATTATCTACCAATTGTGGATGTATAGTAGCATCCAACTGATCAACTTGCATGTAATCTAGTGTTTAGGTAGTGGTTCTCATAGTCAATTGCAATTAATTGAACTATAATTGGTATTGTTTCAATCATGTACTTGTCATATAATGAGAGAAAGCAATTATTTGAGTCGTCTTATGTGTTTGAATCGTACCATGTTTTATGGAGAATACTACTAACCAACTATGGAGAGCAACTCAATTCATATTGACACATGTACACTGTTGCAGTAGCGTTTTGTGTTAGTAACACAACATTATAAATATATATATATATATATATATATATATCAATAGACTACGATGAGGCACCGGTTGCACATAACCCCGACAACCCATGTATATTTTTGTCTCTAACCACTATAAAAAGTTGAAAAGAAAAACTAAAGAGTGAGTAGACAATACTGAATTACATTCTGTGTTTTTTCTTCTTAACTTCATTGTTGTAAAATCATGCTCCGCCACTACATGTGCTATGGAAATGATTCTCGTTAATCATGTACTATTTGAGCACTTTCCCTCATAATCCGTATTGTGTTTACATATGTGATAAAGAGAAAGAGACATACACAGCATTACATGGGAATTCTTCTCCAAGTAATAGGACCTATATATGCATGAATC